TCTCTATATGAAACTGACATGCACAGCATTTACGCACTATAATACTTCTCGCTCTTATGCAGGTTGCTAAGGTCAAACACCTGCTTGAGCGGGTGCTTTTTAGTCTAGCCTCCTGTTGGGTGTTACAAGGCTGATGGTCTAAACCTTTAAGCAGGCGCTAGACTGTGGCGTAGACCTGTTTATTTTCGCTTTGCTAGCAGCAGACATAGTTAAATTTGTATTGTTCTAACTGACCCCGACAAGGCGAGACCGCCAAATGCATGGGGGCGGGGGCATCTCATGCTTGACACGCATAGGCGGAACATTTAAATTTGTCATCAACGGCACTCAAACGCATTACTTATTGTATTGGTATTATTTTGCCCACAGATTTTGATGATTGAGGAGAGAGAGAAAATCATGCATTCGATGCTGTGTAAGTCATATTTGTCGCGCCCATCCCGCGGGGAACACGGCGAAGAAACTGTCACTGATTAATTTTTGTTGAGACCTCGTCGTAACCTGTCAATGCTCATAGATATCTCTGAGCTCATTCGCAAACCTTCGATAGTAATTCATTCCCCCTCAAGTCGGTGGGACTGAATTGCGCCCAAGCTAAGCACTGATGCAATATCCAGAAGAAATTAAAGGTGAGGCAGAAAAAAGTGCGACTATCGAAAACCCCGTTTAACAGAAAGAGTGAGAAAAAACAAAATAATGAAGCTGAGTGCAGCAGAGCCCCACAGAAATAGGGTTAGGTAACAGTCTGGGTCGGGCCTCACCACTCTTACTTCGCATAAGTGTCTACTTATTGCGCAGTAGTAGGTATGCTTTTCTCACCAAAAAGGTTAGACAGAGTAAATCTACATTGCCCTGCCCACGAAGAAAGCTTTAGCGCCCTGCGGCCACTTTTGCTTTTATGAGTTTATGTAAACTTCAGTTTTTGGTTTAGTTAGCTCAGTTTATTTAGTTTAGTTGTAGTTTATTATTTAGTTTTATTAGTTTTTGTATGTTTGTCTTTTGGCGATACGCAGTTGCTTCGTGTCTTAGCTTACTAGGATATCGGTCCAAATGCCTTAGAATATATTGCTAGTTTAAAAAAATTGGGAAAATGTCTGTACAGCTGCAGCATCTGGTTAACCAAAATTTGCCTTATTTACCTCCAGCTTCTAGTTTTACACATTTCCTCCTTCCCTTTCTTGGTTTAACATTTCCTCTCCCCAATGTTGACCCCTCTAATAGTGTTTTCTGTTGTTATTTCTATTAATTAATCTACACGGCAATATACCATAATTGTGCTGTTTTATATTTGTTCTTTCTCTAACGATGCAACTTCTTGCATTCTCTCATTCGTTCTTGATATTATGCAGTAACAGGTCTAGGTAGTAAACATCAGCGCAATATTGTGGATTCAATATATTCTAAATTATTTGCTTGCTTTAAATTTAGATAAAACTCAGTGTCATGTAAGGCGCGGCAAAGACTCACTAAACAAATCGCCGCAATTGTTTATTATACATTACTGCCTACTTATGTCGTTATAGTAAGGATGTTCTCTTAGGTAAGAATTTAGCATTTACCAATCTATGGCGCCTTACCGTTGCCTTCGCGGACACAGAATGCAGTATCAACCAACACGCAACTGTTGTTATTTCCCCCCGCAGTGATGAGTTATTAATGAACGGCACTCCTGTGCATTTTGTAGTTTGTTGTTTTTTCTTCTGTCGGTCGTTTTGAAAAATTCAGTTGTCACTCTCTTTTTTATCGGCAATGTTTATTTGCCTGTGCGGCTGCTGGTGGGTTTCGGGAGTGAGCCGCAAGGCCGAATGAGTCGCGTAACGGATCAATGAACTCGTTCAATGAGTTTCTTCCGATCAGTTTTTTTCTAAGGTCGCTTCTTTTGGCGGGCAGGAATCCTAATCCTCTGTTAGTTTATCCTTTTCTCCCCCCACCAGGCCTTAGCTATCATCGAGGAGGTCGTTGATGAGGTGGGCATTCGTAATAGCAAGCTACCCGTGCCAAAGTGGGCTCTTCCGGAGCTCTGCGGTTCCACAAAGTCCAAACTCCCCGCAAACGGTGAAATAACGCGAGAGAAGTCCAAAGAGAAGGACAACTCTGCGGACAACCTGGACGCCACTAACAGTGACGAAGTGAGGAACCGTGGTTAGAAGCGCGTACACACATATACACCTGACCATCTCTACACGCACGGCGACGTGACTGTCGTTTTGCATCTTCTTCCCAGCCCCCTCCGCCTCCCCCACCCATTC